AGTCTATGTACAACCTGTCTATATACAGAGTCTATGTACAACCTGTCTATATACAGAGTCTATGTACAACCTGTCTATATACAGAGTCTATGTACAGCCTGTCTATACACAGAGTCTACAGCCTGTTCAGGTCACCAGCGTCTCAAAATATTCCGCCTCACGTCCAGAGCGTCAATCAACCTGAACTCAGCTGCAGTAAACATGCAGAGAAAATACAAACATACATATAACATGTGAACTCCGACAGAGATTCAAACCCTGACAAGCTGTGTTCCCTGGTGCGTGATCTTTGAAATGTAAAATTCAACCTCAACCATCTGACATCTATAAAGTGTCGTAATGTTTGATTTTCATAAAGTTGGTTTTATGTTGTCAGTGTCATGCAGGCGTCATGTTATTTATACCCATGACACTCGTTACTGTCATAAATTTAAAGCTTGATAACTGAAGAGTTTCCAAATGAGATAAGATGGATTTTATTGACCCCTGCAGGAATATAAAAGAGTGTAAACGTATAAAATAATATCTGAGGTAGCTGAGTCTACATTCTCCCAATATGTGCTGAATATGAAATAACATGATAGTTATACAACTTTGGATTTCAAGTAAGATAAAGTTTTAAAGCAGGGACATGCCAGAGTGACCTAAACACACTTTGAACCACAAGATGGCGCCACTCACTCACACACCGGATCAGGGTCTACTTTAAATCATAGAGTAAAAAAAAATAAAAAGTTAACCCTGAATCTTTCCCTCAGCTGTTCTGACTGAAGTGAGCAGGACTCCAGTGATCTGCATCAAGAGGAGACGTGTCTTTGCATGACAGGGATCTCATTTAATGCACATCTTTGTTTACCAGCAGCGAGTTAACAACATGAGCAGGATCCCAGTGAATTACTGGAGGATTATGGGAAGGATAATGACATTGGAACAGGATGCTGGTTCATTATACTGCAGTTCTCTTAAATGGGGATTAAAGACGTTCTGCTTCAATGCTCAGGTTCTTCAACTTGATCCTAAACATGTGTAAACACTTCATCTTTTATTGCATTAAATGTGTTGTGTGAGCTCCGTGAAGTAAAACATCTCTTTCTCTCATAGAGCTCATGAACTTCTCAAGACACCAACATCTTCCAGGAAGTTATAAAGACAAACTGTCATAAACAATTGCAAGGATACAAGAGACTAAAGATCAAGGTGCTTTAACCTGGGCTCCAAACATTCAGGTCATTTCAACAAAAGATTCATGTTACATGTGTTGTTGTGCTTTTACTTCCCAGACATCACTTTTTGGGCAGCGTCCTTCCATAGACTGTAAATAAAGATGTACGACATGTCTCCACTTCCTCCCACTATCCAGAGATGAAGTGAAAAAATCTAATATACAAATTAATGCTGCCATCTTACACCAAAGACGTCATTCGGAGCCAGAGTCTGAGCAGTAGCCATCATTGTGCAGAGCTGCGATGTCGAGGTCCCGCCTATAAACATATGCTCGACCAATCAGGACGTTTCATCCTGTTTTTATAGCATTAAATAACAAATTAAAACCAGAAAACACTTGAACTTGACTTTTTAGTTTAGAGGAGGTGGAGTTTTTGACATGATGTGGGCAGCCACCAGGGGGCGATCAAGTTGTGTGTGTCTGTGTTAATTTATCTTAATTTCTTGAATTTTCTATGATCGTGATTAAAAAACACCTGAACGTGCGGCAGTAGACCTGAGTAGACTGGATTTCACCAGCTCGAGTGACAGATGGTTCAGGGTTTACTTCTTTACTTTAATGCAAAACAAAAATCAAAATAAAATAATAATCTGTCAACCCCGGCTGCCATTCTCCATGCAGCTCAGAACAGAAAAAAACCGTCAGTAAATCCTGTTTGAGTGAAACCTTTCACATCTTGCAGGGCACACACTCCTGAGCAGGAAGGAGGACACAGAGCCACCACATAAAGCCACAGAGAGCCCGAGGCAGCAGCGACAGTCCATCATGGTTGAGTGAGGGAGAAAAAACATGTGCAGCTCAATGAAAGAGCAGGAGCGGACTCTTTCCAGAGCCCTTTAGCTTTGTAACCACAGAGCACTGATATGAAAAACACAATTCCACACAAGATCTAATGCGGAGCCACAGAAATGCTTCATCTATGCTTTACTACTGGATCAGTTTTGTGTGGTTGACGTCCTCCCACGTCTGCGGCGACAGGAGCTGCAGCTTGTGGGATGAAAAGAAGTGATTTTTTATTTAATTTTAAAACCACCTCAGCCTTCAAATCACATCTTGTTCTTCCCTCTTTCCCTGCTGCTAATGGATGCTGACTTTTTAATCTCACGAGCCGAGCGTGAACTGTCAGAGCAGTTAAAGTTCATCAGTTCAGTCGTTAGCAGAGAGATGGTTAAGCAACGTATGAAAACGCTCTCCGGCTGCATGAATGATGAATGAGACGGCTTTCATTGACATGTCTGACTATGATGAAGGGAGCTCTTCCTCTTCTGTGGAGCAGACGTGAAGTGGAAATAGGACAGAGTTTATCTGCCTCAAGGCAGCCTGGGTACTTTTCTGCCAGAATTATGTTTATGTGACCCAGTGAAGCAGAATGTATGAAGCATCACGGCTGCATTGAACGTCACATAACAGATTTCGTTATTAGACACTGTGATCGTGGAAATGTGAAAACATGATGATAATTCAGCCTGAAACAGACTTAGAAGACACCATGATTTAGGAAAAGAACAAAAACAGAAAGAGTAGCATCATCTTTAACATCAATAATCAAATCCTGACGTTTTTTCCAAGATTAAGAAAAAGGGTAACCGACTTATGAGCACTCAAATTAAACAACCATTCCATTCTGTCATCCTCATTCTGCTGCTTAAACATTTCAAAGTAAAGTAAAGATTTTTATATTAATTGATTCTCAGCTTCTCTTGCTGTAACTCACACACATCCTGTCATCCTCAGGGATGTTTTTAAATCGACCAACATCGAGGGACTGAGGAAGGATTCCTGTTCTCAGCTGAACAGCTCTGACGATCTAAAGGCCTCGATAAGTTTGCTGTCACACAAGATTCATTGTCCTTGATTTAAATATGTCTTTTAAACATTTTTCTTCAAATTGTGTTCAAGCCTCATGATGAATTATTTCCATATTATAATTCAGCCTCCTCAGAAACTGCTTGAAGCTTTGCAGACGACATGGAGCTCTGTTCTCTCCAATGTTACATCCTTGAAATCCTCACATCCCTGCAGCGTATAGTTCAGTATAGGAGAGACAAACACTCAGATCTTTTATGAGATCGTCTGGATCGTTCCTTTCAAACTCAGCTGTATGTCTTGCTGTGAGGAGACGGCTGACTTGTCACACATCGCTCTGGGTTCGAGAAGACTGTCTCGACCTCAACCTCACCCTTGGTCGACTGTACTGAAAGTGTGAATGATCAGGGTCATGGATAGTTCAGACACCACTGGGGTCAAAGGTCACATCTCCACTACGGTTTTAACCCAGAAGTCCAATCAACTGTGTGCAATGACAACAAACTACTCTCTCTATCTATCTGTCTATCTATCTATCTATCTATCTATCTTTCTGTCTGTCTGTGTCTCTCTCTATCTATCTATTGTTCTATCTATCTATCTGTCTATCTATCTATATGTCTGTCTCTCTCTCTCTCTCTCTCTATCTGTCTGTCTGTCTCTTTCCTCTAGTCGTTCGGTGTAAATTCTCTTTCCTGTGTGTATGAAATCGTTTCCAGTTTGATTTTGACCTTAAACTCAAGAACCCAGTTGTGTCTTCACAATAAACCAAAGTAAAGAATCGGTTTGAGAATCTTAATCTCTGCTGCTTCCCCTCAGTGCAGTTTAGTGTCCCCCATTTTTTGGTGAGTAAATCACAGTTGATTGTACAAAACTCCCTGGAGAATAACAATCTGTACTTTTCCTGCAGGTTTCCGAGCTTCTACTGAGCTCATCACTGAACTCAACATCTCTCCTGCCTGTCTATGAGGCTGTAAAGGGTCTGGTTATTATTAGCCGGAGTCTGTCACGTCCTTTTGACACTGTCCTTTCAAGGATTAAGTCAAAAGCTGGTGAAGCTGCTTTTACCCTCAGAGTTGCTGGAATTGACAGATGACACAAGACGAGCCTCATCACCAACGTTTTTATTGAAGCCTTTGGGTTTTATTTTGATTATATCAGTATTTT